CGCCGCTTTCCCCCCTGTGCCACCCGCCCCGGTGGGACGGGGCGTCGGGGGGAGCAGGCCTCCTCCGCAGCCCACCGCCCTCCCCTGACCCAGGGGGCTCGTGTGTGGGGGTGACGGCCCTAACTTCTGCATGGGCACAGCTCCAAGGATGGAGTCCATCTGACAGAAAGCACGAAAAAGAAGCGGTGGGAACCCGAACCGCCCTTTGCGATCACCTTTTTTCCTGTCTCTCTGCCTCCGCTGAGGTAACCTGGGCAGCTCGTCCCGCTCCTCCGCTTAGCGATGCGCCGCTGCAGGGTCACGTTGCGTTAAAGCACGTTTCGTTGGAGCTGCGTGAAACTCGCATGTGGATATTTCTAACTAAATACATCAGACGAGGGGGAAAAAAGCATATCCACGGGTTTGGCTTAACTTCGCTAGCTTTAAATAGCGGGGGTTTTGATTAAGCACATGCATCTGCAAGTTGAAGACCTTTCTTGCGTGTGTGCTTTTTCAGGCTCCTGCTTGACGCACAGATTGGTAGGTTACAGAATTCCCGTGTTTTATATGTAGAGAAATTTCTCCTGTCAAATAGATAGAGCAGATCTGTGGGAGGTAGGTTTCATTATGTACAACTTAACGGTTCCTTTGACTAGGAAGAGTATCCTAATACAAGTTTTCAAGGTGTTGTAAGGAATTTGAGGCATGACCATTTTGGACAGTAGTCAGTATTTGAACACTTTTTAAACATCTAATTGCTCACAAATAAAAGTGTCTCGTAAATGGAAGTGAGTCTGCAGTATATTAGAAATAGCTCTACAGGGGATTAGCAGTATATTTTCTTAAAATTTCAGGAGTCAGAGAAGTGCAAAGTTCCATGGTAAGCCAGGCAGATCTATATTTGACACCTATAAAAAATGTTAAATAAATTTATTGAAGGTAGCAGTTGCTGGAGGCCCTGTTTGTGAAAATGAGGTGGCAAAAATGTCACCCTCGCGGGAGAAGACTGCAGTGTTACAAACACCACGCAGTATCTTTCTAAATTAAAAAAAAACCAGTCATGGTAAGTGATGGAAGAATCAGAACGGAAGATATACTGAACCTCAGGTGTTACAGTAAAGTGTCCGGTAGGCTTAAGGTTAAAGGTCCAAAAAGCAAGTAGTAGTGCCAAGTATTTTGGAAGATTGCCTTCCAGGGTGGCTTGAGCCAACAGGCAGGAGGGCTCACCATCCTGCGTTCATGTCATCACCTTCTCTGTTCAAATTTCCAATACATTGACATTAATTTTGTAGATTAATGAAACCTTGTGCTGGGCCTAGGCGTTTTCTTGGAAAGAAAAGATTTTCAACCTTTTTACAGAAGTGGGGAAGACAGAAGGGTGTAACTTTTCCATGCGTGGATAAAGCAAGAGAGAAGTCCTCATGGTTCTCTGTGGGTATGAAAAGACAGGCATCTCCTCCAGGTTTCCCTTTGCGTGGGGGTAGATGTGGGTGTGAAGGGTGGGAGAGGCTGGTAAGAGTTGGATGCTGGGTTGCTGAAGTGAGTGATCTGAGACTGATCCGGGTCTATCTGATACTGGCTGAGGTAGGGTTTTGGTAGCTGAGGCCTGGAGGGAATGCTTGGGTCTGTGCTGTGAGGCAGAGGTCTGTTGTGTCCTGCGGTTGTTGTTTTAGGGCGCATCCTTGGTGCGCTGACTGCGAGGAAGACACCTCTGCTGTGGGTGTTCGGTACCAGACCTGTGTTTCTTCCCATCAGAGGTCCATCTTTTTGGAGCTTGAGTCTGCTATGTGTCCGTGTTTCCTGTCGGAGGAACGGGGATGTGCAGCCCGCTCACCTCCTGACACCGAGTCAGAACATAGTTACATTTGGAGAGCAGAACTCATGGAGGGCACCACAGAGTAGCTGTCCGGGGGGTTGCCCTTACCATAGGTTGGATGTATATATTGGGGTGCATCAAACACAGCATAACCATCTGGTCAAAAGCAGTGATTATCCCATTGTATTCAGTGTTAGTGTGGCCTCGCCTGTGTGCAGTTCTGGGCCCCACAATTTAAGAAGGATGTGAAGGTCCTTGCATGCGTCCAGAGGAGGGCAACAAAGCTGGTGAAGGGGCTGGAAGGCATCTCCTGTGAGGGGTGGCTGGGGCCCTCATAGGCTTGTCGAGTTTGGAGAAAAGGAGGCTGAGGGGTGACCTCTGCTCTCTGAAGCTTCCTGAGGAGGGGAAGTGGAGAGGGAGGTGCTGAGCTCTTCTCCCTGGGATCCAGTGATAGGGCGCATGGGAATGGCTCAAAGCTGCACCAGAGGAGGTTTAGACTGGACGTTAGGAAGCATTTCTTTACCAAGAGGGTGGGCAGACACTGGTGTTCTGTTCTGTTCTGTTCTGTTCTATTCCATTCCATTCCATTCCATTCCATTCCATTCCATTCCATTCCATTCCATTCCATTCCATTCCATTCCATTCCATTCCATTCCATTCCATTCCATTCCATTCCATTCCATTCCATTCCATTCCATTCCATTCCATTCCATTCCATTCCATTCCATTCCATTCCATTCCATTCCATTCCATTCCATTCCATTCCATTCCATTCCACCTGCATCTGCTAATATGAGGGGAATTAAACGAGGCCAGGTTTGTAGGAAGATCCAGTGTATTTTGTTCCATCAATTCATATGCGTGGGAGAAGCAAACGAGCTTCTTTGCACAACAAGCAACATAAAAACCTACATAAATCTGAGAGCTTCTAATTTGTGGGGGAAATAGCCCTTGCATCAGTGCATAAAATAATGTTGGTATTTGCATGGAAGTAGATCCATGTTGTGATTAATAGTAGACCTGTTACTGTTTATATTGGAAAGGGCAATGTTAAAAATGCAGATGAGAGGTGAGGTTCATTGCAAGTTCCTAGGAGATAAATGGAGGAAAATATTAAGGGGGAGCCTGAGATGTGGAGAAATTGAAAGGGACAGAAGAGAGCTAACAAGATGGTTAGGGGTCTACAGCACAGGATCTACAAGAAGAGTTTGAGGGGGCTGGGCTTGTTTAGTGTGGTGAAGAGAAGGCAAAGGGGCAACTCTAGTAGTGGCCTACAGTTACTTGAAGAATAGTAGCAAAAATATCAGAAGCATTTTTGTCTTGGTAGTAGCAGATACTTGGTGAGATACTAGGAAAAACGTTTCCATCAGGAGGAGAGCACAGCCACGCAACAGGTTGCCCAGAGAGGTTGTGGACTGTAAGCCACAGGTGATGTGAACCAGTGTTGGTGACAGCCCCGCGTTGAGCAGGCAGTTGGACTAGATGATCACCAGGGGTCCCTTGTGAACAACATTTCTGTGAGTCTGCAATACATGATATAGAGGAACTGATGGAACAGAGTATACGATCAGGTACATCCGGTGTAAATGTTCTTGGAGAGGTATGCATCTACAAATGACCAGGAGGATGAGAAACTGAAATGCGTGCAGAAGAGACTGAAAAGCCAGGTAGGTATAAACATGGAACATGGTGGTAGCACAGGGGACTGAAATACTAAGAAATGGTAACGGGAAGAGCAGGTTTTTGGAGAAGAGTAGTAAGGATGAGCAAGGGGATAGGATACTTTGTGTGATGGAGGAGGAGGATGTTCCTGCCTGGGGACAGTGTTTGAAGCAGCTGAGCAGGAGCAGGGAAATGGGAACAGCAAGCTGGGGAGTACTAGGAGTTGTGGTGAGGCAGGGAGATAGGTGCCAGTTGTCAGTTGCCTTTGAAGAGAAGTATTTGAGCACGGGATGGTGGAGTAGGTGACGTACGCGAGCCGTGAGATGCTTCGTGGGGATGAAATCTTTGGGATTGGCGGAGCGAGGCAGGAGTGACAGGTAGACACGGTGTGGTTGTAGGGTTGTATAAGTTGTAAGAGGTGGTCTGGTGTGTGGTGATACCAGGCGGAGGCGTGCTGCTGCGATGAGTGAGGAGAGCATGTGGAAGCGGCACGCGAAGGGCGTATGACTGTCTTAGGGTGAGGAAGGTGCGCGAAAGCAGGTCGGTGTGCGGGTGTTGGGGTGAAAGGAGGTTGGTGTGCGGGTGTTGGGAGGGTGTGGAGTCGGGAGAGTATGGAGTTGCTCTGGAGAGACTGCCTGGAGCTACCCTCTGAGGCACCCGGGGCTGCAAGCAGCGTGAAGCAGATGTACAGAGAAATGGGATACGTACCATGTGCTGATGGTGGGGAGCTGACGGGTGTCAACGTCACGGTAGAGTGAGAAAGGTTTGTGAGTCAGGAGCAGCACGGAGGAGGGACGGGGTGGTGAGTGGGAGGCACGATGATGCGGTGAAGTGAAGTGGGTCTGTAGGGTGCCACGTATGGACTTCTGTGCTGAAGCGAAGGGAACGTGGGGCGAGAGAACGTGAGCTGTGCCGCTGCGGCGGGAGTCCGTGCGCGGAAGAGGGTAGCTGAGGGAAACATCTCCAGATGTGAGTAATGGGGGAAGATGGTGAGGGACGCATGGGTACAAGCGTACGGCCTCCAAGGCAGGGGGAGCGCTGGGATCCGCGGGAGGGGGCTCCTTAGCGTGACG